GAAGTTCAGTATTTAATTGATTATATACCGCTAACACTTAATCACACTTTTCGAAACAACGCCAGTTGTAAACAATACTTGTGTGAAAAGACAAAATCTTCTTTTCAAATTTCCGCCGAGTTGTAAGTAGAAGGCCAAATAGGTCATGTGTCAATTTTAATTAAATATATTTTATATGAAGTGATCTTGACTACCTTTCATCAATTACCCATTAGTAAAAATTAAAACAGGAATTTTACAATTGTGTTTACAAGAAACATTATTAGTTGAACCTTGCAGCTTGTTCATTATTTTTATTATAAATACCTATAAATGTATATATTATTAATAAATAGTTCCCATTATATTTTGTATTATTTTTATTTTGCCCTATCTGCAATGTTCTACGCTCTATAGAAAATGTGGCGTATAACATGACTGACAATCTCTCGAACGTTTTATCTAGATACAAAGATGTTTTACGTTTTCGTCACCTCCACATGATATTTTTGTCAGCATAAGGTACCCTTCTGTATCTGAAACGAATATGAATATTGCTACAAAGTAAAGTAATAGGCTATACAAGTCCCTCTACTGGGCACAGAACTCTTTTTTTATTTCTGAGAGGGTTTTCGGGCAAGGAAATGCCCCCGCGCTGCCCCAAAGCATTTTGACGAAAATTGCAATTACAAATTTCATTCGTGCTGTCGGGAATCAAACCCGAGAAAAATTTACAGCGAACGCTTTGACCCAGATCTACTAATACGACACAAATAAATACGATTTAAAATATATAATAAAAACACTTACGTACTTGAAACTTGAACACTTGATTGCTCGTGACGCCTACCGGACAATGCTACAGCACAATGTAATTGAAGATGCGTAACCGCGACATAATTCTCAGTGATGCGCAAGCATAACAGGCAGTATGTCACTTATATAATTGTCATCTCTGCAGTCTATTAATCTTTGCACTTTAAGCTTTTGCATTTCAAGTTAAAGCCTTAACGCTATAGTTTATAGTTTAATCTTTGATGCATGAATTCTAGAGATATCTGTAGGCGTAATGTGTATTTATTGTTTGTCTATGTGTGATAGCTTCGAACCGTCGGCACGCGTCCTGATATTGATAGACTGTAGAAGGCATTTCTAGTGCCTTATCATTTAGATTTCTGTGCATTACATTATAGACTATTAAATAACTACTAAAAACTAAAAACTAAATTAGTGGCTACTCCAACAAACATATATAAAAAGCAAATAATTTGTTCCAAGTCCAGACCGAACTAACGAATCCGAAAAAAAGGAGAAAAAGAAAAAAGAAAACAGTCAAACAAATACCATGTGACCATACATCTTGTATTATTATCCTCAGCCTGCGCGTCGCGCAATTCCTTCTGGTAAGCATTGACCTATTACTTGATTTTGTTCTTTGTACAAAACGTCATTGAATAGGTTATTTTAGAGTGTTTTTTTTTAGAGTGCACCACACCGCGCGTCAGTTGGAACTCGTCCGGATGCTGGTATTATTTACGGTGGGACGGGCCCGCCAGCACCGGTGCGCGACGTGAGCACCCCATGGTAAGTGTATCAGCACCACCCACCTTTTGTAGTGAGATTTTTTTACGTGAGTTTTAAACGTGTTTCTCACTTGTAGGGCACGCAAAGGCTAAGGCAGGTCGTTCCAACACCGCGACGCAGCGAATCTGAAGGAGCCCCGAAACGCCATGGTGCGATGTTTTGGAGTGGCAAAAACGTGGGTACACTCCCTCCTGGGGTATCTGCTGTGATCACGGGCCCACTTCAGCTTTCATCATCATCATCATTACAGCCTTTCATAAGTCCACTGCTGAACATAGGCCTCCTCCAAGGAATGACACAAAGCACGGTCCTGAGCCAACTGCATCCATCGACTTCCTGCATGTCTTACCAGGTCGTCACTCCATCTAGTGGGGGTTCGCCCTACACTTTGCCTACCGGTACGAGGCTGCCACTCGAGAACCTTTTTTTACCATCTGTAATCGGTTCTTCGAGCTATATGGCCGGCCCACTGCCACTTCAGCTTACTAATCCGCCGGGCCACGTCGGTTACTCTGGTTCTACTGCGGATATACTCATTTCTAAGTTTATCACGCAGAGACACCCCGAGCATAGCCCTCTCCATAGTTCGCTGAGTGACCCTGAGCTTCCTCATACGACCAGCAGTGAAGGACCACGTCTCGGATCCGTAAGTCATCACTGGCAGCACGCACTGGTTGTACAATTTCATTTTTAGGTTTTGAGGTATGTCTAACGAGAAGATGTGACGTAGTTTCCCGAACGCTGCCCAGCAGAGTTGAATCCGTCGATTGACCTCTCGGTCGAAGTTGGACTTACCTAGTCGGACTATTTGTCCCAGGTAAACATACTCGTCAACAATTTCAAGCTTAGTGCTCCCAACAACTACCGGCATAGGTGTGACATGGACATTAAACATGATCTTTGTTTTGTCCATGTTCATCTTAAGACCTATCCGTTGGGAGACACTATTGAGATCATTGAGTATAGTGCTTAGGTCCTCCAGCGATTCTGCCATAAGGACTATATCGTCGGCAAATCGAAGGTGAGTGATGTACTCGCCATTGATGTTAATACCGTATCCTTTCCTGTCCAGTAGCTTGAAAACGTTTTCCAATGGAGCGATGAAGAGTTTCGGGGATATAACGTCACCCTGTCTTACACCTCTCTGCAGTTGGATAGGTTTCGTATTCTGATTCTGTACTCGGATAGCCATCGTAGCTCTACTGTACAAACACTTCAGCACTTCGATATACCGACAGTCAACTTGGCACCGCTGAAGGGACTGCAGCACCGCTCAAATTTCGACGGAATCAAAGGCTTTCTCATAGTCCACATACGCAAGGCAAAGTGACAGATTATACTCCTCTGTCTTCTGTACAATCTTTCAGCTTTAGGAATAGGTATTTAGGTTTTTTTGTAGTGATGACTCAGCATGATGACTTAGCACCACTTACTACTTCTAGCCACACATCTACACACGTGGGGGACCTATTATAAGGGAGACCCTTAAAGATAAACCGTATATCAGTACCATTTATATCATAAATCAGGATTTTTTATACGAAATAAATTAAAGGCATTTTATGAATGTAATAAGAATATTTATGTATAATTTTAAACTCAAAAATTGCCACTCTAGCATCAAACAAAAAGGGATACAAAAAACACGTTATATTTTTAGAGTTAATATTAGAGATCAAATATGTAATAAAATTTCGTATCAAATAATAAATCAAAGTGTTTTTCTAATTATTCTTGTCATATAAACTATAAAACAGGTATAAAGATCTATGAAAATACTAAAACATCTAAAATCACAAGTGGAATGTAACACTTCGCAAATATCGAAATTTCAGTCAAATGTAAGAACCTAATTTCAGTATCGATTTTTACTATCAAAATTATGCTTATAACCTAACTATCAGCTTACCTGACATTTTTACATATTTTTACGTTTATAAAATAAATAGGACGCAAGTTTTCATACATTTGGAGCACACGTTTGTTAAGTATAGGCTGAGTCAGATATATGATTTTCTGAGTTATTTGTGATCTCTTCATTGAAATATTCTAAAACCAAGTCAATCATATATTCAGAAAATAGAAAAGAACATGCATCAAATGGAGACATTTCGTTTTTGACTTGAGCAGGACCCCTTAGTCCAAGAAAATAAATATACTTGATGTTATGTGTTAAACGCGTGATCGCGATGGTGGTATTTTGGACTATTTAGATCTATTTCTTCAATAAAATGCATTACTATTTCGGTCTTCTTGTTCATTGTTTTCTATTTCTTCGTTTTCTGAGTCAATCTTCGTTTCTTCTTCACTTTCAGTGTCGTGATCACTGACTTCATACTTCACGTCACTCAAATTCGATATGCTGTAGGAAAAATATACTCAATTTCGTTTTCTTCTCACTCGAAGTCATTTAATAGATCTTCTCTCTACTGAGGATTCAACTTTTATCCATAGTACGCCACAAATCTACAAAAAAAAAAGGAAAATAAGGAAATGGAAAAAATTTATACTTACGTAATTACACTTGTGGGGGACCTTAGTCCCGTTTCGATTCGTACCTGTTGAACTAAGCATGCTAGCCTGGTGTACGTTCCATCCCCGTGATACCTCGAGAGGAACTGGGAATACTTGGACGCTCGACCGCGTTACGCTTAAAACACTTAAAATATTTTCTAAAATATGTGCCGTGGAGGAGCTAGGTCCCCTACCTGTGGTGTTAAGGGTTAACTATTGTGCACATTTTCTTCTCGTACTCTCGAGGGTAATAGCTGAAAATCAGTGTTTGCTTTATGAGCAATATTAATCGCTGAGTCAGGACCCATTTATGAAACTGCAACACACATGTAGTTAAGTTTTTCTAAATTATTGTTTTTTCGTAATATGTTACTTTGTACTTAGATTAGTCATTGATTTTACGCGTGTGATTTGAGAAACAAATAAATGCTTTATCTACCTTATCTATCTATCTATGATAATCTGTATTGTATTGTTTTAAATTGAAAAGTTTTAGCGGGAACTTGACCGGCGGCGGCAGATTGTTCATCCTGTGTTATTATTTAAATAATGGTGTAAAGTGTATTGTGATATGTAAAGTGGTGCAATTTTGTGTATTAAATGGCTGCATATGTGAATTATTAGTGAAAACGGTGAAACATGTACTCTGATGTTGATGTGAATCTCAAGATAAGGTGTGTGTCTGCTTAGACGCCTTGAGATCGCCAACTTTCTGCTGGCTCAAGTTGTCACCAAAATCTCCCAAGGGCTACGCATTATGACGCATCAACATATTATAAAGCAATGTAAGATTAAACATTATTATCCCTTGATACTGAGATAAATGAAGACATGGCTTAAAAGACGAGCATCCAAGACAAAATCTTAATAAAAAATTGAAATTGAAATTCCTATTCCGATCCGGTGTCGGTTATTTTTATGTTGTAGTTATGTCTTGTCCGTCTGCTTAAAATTTACAATATAAATATTTATAAAAATGCTACTTGTGCTTCTTTAAGATACTTGCTTACTATACTAAGCATAATTTATTTTGAATCATTTGTTAGTACTAAAAATGAGTGACAATATCAAAGTAGTTGTCAAAGTAAGGCCCCTTATTTCTCGAGAATTAGAGGATAAGCTTTTTCACCAATGGCGCGTAAAAAATAATACCCTGTACCAAATCGATCAGAATGGGAGGGATTGTGGATATTCCTTTACATTTGGTGAGTTTCTAATTTTCGGTTTATTTTCAATGTTATGATATATCGGTTAATTACTATTTACTTGTAATATATGCAGTTCACGGCATTACATTATTATAGTGTTTGGACACTTGCTACTTTATACTTAACCAAAACTATTTTTATTTTAGACAAGGTCTATGATCAGAACACTGAAACAACTGATGTTTATAATGATATCGCCAAGCCAATTGTTGAGGCTGCAACGGCTGGCTTCAACGGAACGATCTTTGCATATGGACAAACCTCCTCAGGCAAAACCTATACCATGACAGGAACCAAAGAATCACCTGGCATCATTCCTTTGGCTGTGATTAATTTATTTGATATTATTAAAAACATACCTGACAGGGACTTTTTAGTAAGGTATAAAATTAAATTGAATTAAGTAACTAAATAATATTTTGTAAGAAATAATATTACATAATTGTATTATCATTTAGTTTAGTTGAAGTGAATTGCTTCAGTTTTGTCATGCCTATATTTTCAACTAACTTGCATAATTGTTTCTTATCGCCATAACTTAAACTATAGAACTATTTTATAAATTTACTGTACCTCGAACGTGAAATTGAAAGGATGGGCTCTACTGTCGAATTTTTGAAATAACTCGTTTCACTCATTTTATTTCATTTTTATGTTATGGAAAACCAACAGGTTATAAATCTTAAGTAAATAACATGTTTAATTACAAGAAGCCAATAATGGGCTCTCTCTAATAGATATACAGTAAGATAATCTTTCGTAGTATAAATGATATGTAGAAAATGTATAGATTTAATAAGTGAATCAGACAATAATAGCCAAAACGAAAAGAAAAGCAAGACTATATGCACTACATAATAACTTTTTCACTAGCTGATACCAGCAACTTTATCCGTGTTGCTTGATATATTACGAAGTTTATGTATGTGCAAAGGAAAAGACATCAAAAAGATCACAAAATCATGATTTCTTAAAACTTTAATAACTGTATATTAAATGTAGATATTGTAATAATTTCTTTTAGATAGGGGCCAAGTGTTTAAGAAATAAAACTTAGAAAACCTCATTGAAATCAATCTAGTAGTTTTTCTGTGATGAGTGCACAACTGCAATACTCTCATTTTATTTATATAGATTAACCGATTTGTTGCGGCACCAATTTTCGACAACTTTTAGCTGTGGCGGTGAACAAATATTTCATGTCACGCCAGGCGTGTCAAGCGCCACAGACAAAAATGACACGCCTTATTGTGCCATCCGCCATGTGTAAAAGTAATGTTCTTTTTTATGCTTTTTTTACTTGTTTAGACCTAATTAAGTTTATTTGACATCAAAACATAAGTTACAAATGGAAGGATACTTGTTTTAGTTGGTAACTATGTGTTTTTTACATGTTTTCTTTGAAATTGAGAGAAAGTGACTTTTTTTATGAAGAGATTACAAACCTTTTGTACTATTTTTTGTTGTTATAAAAAAATCATTTATATAAGTAGGTACAGCTAAATCACTCTGGAAACCTTGGTTTTTATTAAATTAAATTTTCACCTAATAATAACATTTGTAAATATCAAACAATGAAGAATCTTAATTTGAAAAAAAAAATAAGGTATATCATTTAAAACCCACAAGGTAAAAATAGTACCATGTACACGTTAAAAAAAAGGTTTTAAACCCCTAAAAATTTCAAATTTTCAAAAATGCATGAACTACTCGCAAAATAATGAATATTTTGTTCTGGATAAGTTTTCCAAAAAAGCAATTTGAGCAAGTTATAACGATTTTTAAAAAGACACGACTCGCGTGTCATACGCCACACACAAAAGTAATCGATAGCACGCCTGGCGTGTCACCCGCAATGAACCGGTTAATTATGACACAAAAGTCTGGACTTAGTGCCTGCTTTGCTGATACATAGATAGTATTAACCAAATCAAAATAGTGCTTTTTGCATAAATTATTGAAATTATTACTAGACCACCATATTAAAGTATTTCTTCTATAATTAGTAGATAAAACTGGTAATTAGAGTAATGCATTTGTTCTAAGGTTCACTATAGACTTACTTGAGTGATATTTGTAATAGCAAATCAGATCAATCAACACTGCCAGAACAGATTTTTAATAAAAATGCAATGTCAGCAATCTCATGACACTTTATCAGAGGTAACAGATGATGCTGCTTGCATATGGACAGGTAGTTCTCTGATTGGTAGTTTGTATGGGTATGATAGCAAAGATATTGTATGAACTTATGTCGGATGCTTTCATTCTGTGAAATGTATATTATGTTATACATCAGATTACAGATCTTCGAAGCATATTTAAGGGTATTGCAAACATAAGTACAGTACAAGATTTTAATGTTATTAAACTCCTTTGCAGTACGAAAGACAAAACACCTTGGATGCCTTTGCTATGATGTCATCAACATGGGTATTGAATAATAACTTAGGGTCGTAAAAGATCCCTAGTTCACATACACATATATTCACATACATACATATTCTTTTGAACTTTTGGCCTTTCAGGTGATAGGTGAAATAAACTATGTTTTACTTGTGTGAATATGTAACAAGGGTGCATTTATATGGGTCCATCTTAAAAGGTCTTTCTGCAGTATTTCATTCAGCCTGATATGAGATAGTGGAAAATATTTTCATATCTTTAGCAAAACAATGGGGTGATGATTTAAAGCAGTTTTTAATTCTGTTAACAAATATAAGAAATAGCAATGGTCCCAGCAAGGAGCTCTCTGGTACACCATTCGGTATTGACACCCAACCTGATATATAATTCTGTGTGTGACCTTTCAACAGTTGATATGTAGTTTTTGACACATCATCCAAATATTTTACAGGAGGAATTTTTTTATTTATCAAACCTAGTTACCTAATTACTTATATTTTTTTTAATTGCTCTCTTCAATGCTGGGGCATATCACATATTGTAGGAATCTGGTTTAATTATTGTAAATGGTATGTGTTTATCTCTTAATTTCCCAAATATTTCATAAATATATTTAATGAAATCATTAAGAGATTACAATTAAAATTTGGTTTAATTGATTTCAGTACTTCTTTAATTTATTTTTTGATGATGAGGATGATTATCTTAATTATATAAAACTTAATAAACAGAGTTATTTTAAGTTGTTTAGTTTTGATTTTATTGTCTGATTTATTTATTACAATAAGTTATATTTGTAAGGTAATATTTTAGTAGTAGTATTTACCCTTGACAAAACAGCTGCTTATAAGGCAGTGTTGTATGATAGATTTATATATTATGTTTATATAATGTATTATGTTTCTTATGTGTTACTTAGTAAGTTTCTTAAATTGAAACATATTTCTTGAAAGGTATTTATTTTCTTAAGATAATATTTTGCACTTCTGCTAAGACTTATAATGTCTTTAATGAACAAAAAAATCATTGGAATCATTTTATATGGGGTAGAGCCATGCTGCAGCTATATTAGTAGTATAATTGTAGCACGAATGGGTTGGCTCGACCGGGGAAGGACCATGCTCTCACAGAATACCAGCGTAAAGTAGGAACTTTATGCTGCTGTGTTTCGTACGGTCAGTGTAGAGAACCGGAGACTGGAATAGAGGCATTCCATCTTAGTCCTCATGGGTGACAACATATCTGCATTTTGATTCGCAAACGAGGATAGATGTAGATGTATATGGGCCCAAGAAATCAGTTACCATGTGGACTGTGTGCTCGTTTGTCACCCTATCCTATAAAAAAATTACCATTACAAGCTATGAAAGTCCACTGCTGAACATAAGCCTCCCCATAGATTGCCTCATAGGTAAACTATTTGCCATAGTAGCCACTGACAACTGCAGTTTTTTTAGCTGTTATTAGGAAGATGCTGCTCCTCATCTCCTGGCTTGTTTTGCTCTGTCGCCCCTTATGACACCAACGGAATAAAATCAGTAATGTTTCCATTCTTATATTGCCACTACACAGTATCATCATTACAGTGCTTCACAAGTCCATTGCTGAATATAAGCCTCCCCCAAGGAATGCCACAAAGCACAGTCCTAAGCCACCTGCATCCATTGACTTCTTGCTCGTCTTACCAGGTCGTCACTCCATCTAGTAGGGGGTTTGACCTACACTTCACCTACCGGTATGAGGCTGCCACTCGAGAATCTTTCTTCCCCAATGGTTGTTGATTCTTCGAGCTATATGGCTGGCCCTATATATTGGGCTATGTCCCTCACTCTGGTTCTACTGCAGATTTCCTCATTTCTAAGTTTATCAAGTCGAGATACCCTGAGCATAGCCCTCTCCATAGCTTGCTGAACGATCTTGAGCTTCCTCATACGGCCAGCAGTGAAGGACCACTTCTCAATTATACAAGTCATCACTATATCACACAGTATATTATAATAAACTTTTTATAATTTTAGCATATCATACGTTGAAATTTATAATGAAACATTGATAGACCTATTGAATACAGAAAGGAAGAATATAAAAATTCATGATACATTGCAAGGTGTGAAAGTAGATGCTACAGTGAAAGTGACAACATCACCTGAAGAAGTCCTACAGTTCATGCAGGAGGTAATTTTTTATTTAAAATTTTGAAAATTTTCCACTTTTTTTTAAACATTTTTAAATTTTTTGATTCTTCATGATGATCTGTATTGCCTTGAACTGTGATCCCAATTTCTGCAATTTAATACTGTTTCAAAGCATACCAAACACATAGTCTATATTTAATGTTCCAATAAGTCACTTTAATATGCCCAAAATTTAGTCCATCTTGAACAATTGAAAATCAGCTATGTGTTAAGGTTACTTTAAGATATAGTTAAGTTTGCATAACTGGGGGACAAAAGTGTCAATGGGAGATTTAACAGTTAGAGTTTGATTGATAAGTATTTAATGTTGTTACATCTCCAACATTGAGCATCAACACATGGAAGCATTTGCGCACAGAATGCCTGGAGGTAGTTGATCTGAAAATAGGAAATGTCATATATTTTGTCTTAGTAATGTAAAGGTTAAGGATACGAGGGCAACACTGAAAGTTTTTAGAACTGGCCACTTGTAAACAATATAATAAAAAATAAGTTCAAATTTTAAAAATGGAACTCTGCCAATATTATTGTGTATGTATTTTATTAATTTGTCATTTGTTTACGATTTGGCAGCAAATTGAAAGTTGTCTGTGTCATGTCAGCATGAATTTAACTCTACTAGAAATAAAAACTAGAAAATTTTCGTATAATAATTTTTTATGACTTTCGATGTCATTTAAGTCAATAAGCAAGTTATGATAGACTTCGATTGGCCTTTCATGATGAATCCCCATCTCGTGCCACTGTTTACAACTGGTTTAAGGAGTTTAAACGTGGTTGCACTAATCTCACCGATGATCGGCCTTCTACGACGACGACTGAAGATAACATCAGTGTTGTGCGGCGTATGATAGAGACTGACAAAAGAGTGACTTATCTGCAGATTCGGACAAGCTTAGGTATCGGTATGAGTCAAGTGCACAAAATCCTCAATGAACATTTAGTGGTCAGGTAGCTTTGTGCCCGGTGGATACCTCATAATTTGACAGAGGCCCAAAAACTCCGTCGTGTTGATTCGTGTCGTGAAATGGTTCAAAGATTTAATGGAGGTGACTCAAATGCTGTGTTCTACTTACGGGTGACGAAAGCTGGATTCATTGTTATAATCCTGAAACTAAAAGACAGTCTGCTGTCTGGGTGTTTCCTTCCGAGGTGTTGCCAACTAAAATTTCCGACCCTGCTTCAAAAATCTAAAGTTACACCCGTCTACAAGGGTGGTGACAAAAAAGATATAACTAATTATCGACCTATATCAGTCTTGTCGGTTATTTCTAAAGTTATTGAGAGACTAATAAATTCACCCCTTATTACCTACCTTGAAAAATTTAATATTTTATCCAGTTCCAAATTTGGTTTCAGAAAAACAAAATCTACAGGAGACGCCATTTCAGGCTTAACCTCCTTAGTAAACCAGTATTAAAATCTTAAAAAAAAGTGCCTGACAGTCTTAGATTTAAAAAAAGCTTTCGACACGGTGTCTGTCCCCACGTTTTGACTTTCAATAAGTATTATGTAATACTTATTGAATAAAATAAATATTCTATTCTATTCTATTCACCCTTGTAAGAATAATGGAAAGTATTGGCATTAGGCGAGTCCCACTAAAACTCCTAACTGATTACCTTAGAGACCGGTCCCAATGTGTAAAAATTGACAATTACAATAGTACTGACACTACAATTGAGTGGTTCGCCAAGTTAGGTGTTCGCGAAGGTACTGTTTTAGGCCCTACATGTTCTTAATATACTTCAATGAACTGACTAATCTCAAAATTGAGAGGGGGCACGTATTCTCATACGCAGATGACACAGCCATAGTATTTAATGGTACTTCCTGGAAATCTGTTTTTGCGGCTGTTGAGCACGGTCTCCACAGGGTTGCAATGTGGCTCTAATCCGCTCTTATTAACCTGAACATCGCCATAACTAACTTTATTTGCTTCGCAATCGATAAGCGTACATTACCGCCCCCAAATCTGACATTAAGAATTCACACCTGTGACCTTACTTATAATGGGCAATGTGGATGCGATGAGATTGAGCGTGTCAAATGTACTAAATACCTTGGAGTAACGCTGGACCATTGACTATCTTGGAACCCTCAAATTGATGCTATAAATAATAGGATCCGTAAACTCACATGGTCTTTAAAAAGTTAAGACATGTAACTTCTCAAGAATTATTAAAATATATACACATTGCATTGGCCCAATCTGTTATGAGTTATTGCATTCCCATCTGGGGTGGCGCCACCAAAACTAAATTCCTCGAGGCTGAAGGAGCCCAGAGATGCCTACTTAAGACAATGATACAAATTTTTTTTAAACCATTTAGATTTTCTACTGATGAACTATATCTATATCATAAAATATTTTTATTAAGATAGATATATATATATATATATATATATATATATATATATATATATATATATATATATATAACTATATCTATATCATAAAATATTTTTATTAAGATAGATATATATATATATATATATATATATATATATATATATATATATATATATATATTATCAAGTCTGTACTTAAATTACATAAGTCCTTGCTGTATAAACACAAAGTTCATAAAGGTAAAAGAAAGTGTAAAGTAGCTTCTATTACTCCATGTAGAACTCTTTTTGCCAGACGTCAGTTTCAAGCTCACTCAAGAGATAGGCAATCTCTGCATTAAGCTTCACAATAAATATTCAATATATCTTCTACTATATGAATGTAAAAAAACAATAGTTTGCTGGCTCGAGACACTAGGGTACCACGTAGTGGTGGACTTTTTATTTAAATACGAATTGTATACAATACAAATTTTAATGATTTATCAACACATGCAGTCATTCTCAGAAACATGCATACACTTTCTCTTTCCCTCTCACACACACACTCACACACGCATGCGCACACACACACACACACGTTTGACATAAAATAGTGGTTATTAACCGATCCCAAGATTTTAATTGTAGGGCTAGATGAAGATGAAAATGATTAATAGGGAATCACAGTTTTGGCACAATGTAATCTCTGAAATTTATCATTCATTTAGTATTCTAGCCTTTGAAATATTGTAAAATCTATAGTTTAGTTATTAAAAACACTAAATATAAATATTCTATACTCGGTCCAATGGAAGAGCAGAGTCACCCAACACAAGCATTACTCTACATGCTTCCTGGGCGACTGGCCACAAAATAATGCTTGTAGACCTAAGTTAAAAAAATAAACAATATTTTTTTTAAAATGAGAGGTCGAAGCCTGGGAAAAAAGATGGTGGCCACGTTCTTCGGAAGGACAGGTCATTACGCAATAATTGTTTTAGAGTATCGAAAAACAGTTACTGCAGAGTGGTACACTAACAATTGTTTGCCACTTGTCTTGGAAAAAGTTCAGGAGAAACGACCTCGTAGTAGGATCCTCCTTCACCATTGGCGACGTCAGACGTGGAATTACTGGGTCACCCGCCCTATAGCACCGACCTTGTGATTTTAATTTATTACCGAAAATAAAAGAAAAACTTTGAGAAAAACGTTTTATGGACGACGAGGAAGCAGTGGCTGCATTTCAAAATGCCGTCGAAGAGCCCCGTAAGAACGAGTGGGCAAAGTGCTTTCCATCGGATGCAGCAATGTATTGATGTAAATTGAAACATTATATGACACTATTTTGAAAACATATAATAAAACTAAATAACTTGCTAGTTTGTTCAGTTTTTGATTTTCTAAGAACTCAATGTCACCCTCGTGTTGTGTTTTAACCATTGCCTAACTACACTGAACCACTGTAATGAATACTTCTTGCCAGCAAGATTCTCCATTCAAGAATAGAGTGGTGTTATTGGAGAAAGTAAACATTTTCCACTAGCACAGGTTGTTGGTGTATACTGGGAACATAGTGCTTTGGGTACACCGAAGTTAACAACAACATCTTCACTATTCTGATTATTAATTTTACTCTCTGTGGTCTTTTCGTAAGGCAGTCTTCAAAAAGTTTGGATGGAATGCCGGGTACTCCAATTTTGTTTGGAATCGAGACTATCATACTAGTATTGTGTTATTTGTCTTCATAAAATTTCCTTCATCTAAGAAAGTTTCTTAGTGCTTGGTCAGACTGATAGCGTGGGGCGGATTGCAACACGTGTGCAGAAACCCGCGACCTAACTATCCACAGACACAGCGAGGACAGTGTTTTACAAACTATAAACGAAGATGATTTATACCTATTGGGAAATACTTAATATATAAAAAGTAAATGCTAGAAGTGAAAAATGGATTTGACGAAGCAACCTGAGAAAATGAAGAGAATTTTACATGTTTTATGAAAAATTACGAACTCAACCTCAAAAGTTTTTTGTATATATGTGAATGTGAGTGTTTGATTTTTTTATTGCAGTTTGAACATCTACAATGCAAGTCATGTAAGTCATTAATTATTGTTCAATATTCAGTGCCGAAGTGAAAGCCAATACAATACGCGCGATTAACTAGAACTAGTTTGAAGCACGTGCTCCTTGTGGTTTGCGGCGTATGAACACTCAATATGACGTTCATATCTTTGAGAATGCCCCGACGTGCCCGCGTTTGATGTCTGGCCAAGCACTTATCATGACATTCTGTACTTGAGTCCACACTATACAATTATCAGAAACTGTTGGATATTAAAATAAAAATTAAATAATAGAAAACTGGACCAAAAATAACAGGCTTAAATCATTTTGGAACTTAAATCTAGGCATATGATCGATAATTCACTTCAAAAGCCCTAGTATATGTGTAAAAAAAAAAACTACGCATTTTATTAAAAGCCCTTACTGAGACACTGCATCTATTTTGGAACTCAGCAGTGAGAGCATCCACAATATTTTCTACCATAAGGGTGGCGCTACTTAGGAATGAGTTGAAATATTAGTTATATTTTATATTAATTAAATTAGAAATGTCTAAAACTACGTATATTCATAATATGTAAAAAATGAAAGAACATAGCATTGAGACATTGTTTTGTAGATACATACAATAGCAACTGAAGAACTTTTATTGAAAATGCAATTTTTCAATGATGATGAAATTGTGTGACCATTTCCATGATAAATAGGTTCACCAAAGTCCCAACTAGCAACATTTGGTTATAAGCCCTCATTTAAGGCAATGTAAATTCTGTTCCCTAGTAGGTGTGACACATCACTGCACGTTATAAGGAAATGTGACAACAGTATCCCTCTGGGAAATCCTTATGAGCCTACCAACTTCTTTTACTGAAAGTGTGAGCCTTAGTTTTAAACTATAGCCATAGCAAAGATCAACAGTTTTTATATGTGGTAGAGCCATGCTGCAGCTATATTAATTGTATAGCTGCAGCACAAATGGATGGGCTCGACCGTTAAGGGACTACGCTCACTACAGAACTACAGGACTACAGAATACCAGCGTAAAATAGCAGCTTAATGCTGCTGTGTTTCGTATGGTGAGTGTAGAGAATCAGAGACCCTTTTTACTGGAAAAGAGGCATTCTATCTTAGCCTCACGGCTGACAAAACATCTGAAACAACGCAACGGAATTGTCCACCGCGCTGCCCTAATGCGTGTTAGCGAACTTCACATGTCTTCGAATTTTTTTTTCTTATTTCTCAGATATGCAGGTTTCCTCACGATGTTTTCCTTCATCGCCAGCACATGGTAAATCAGCACTTAAAATTGTAATTAGCAATTTCATTAGTGTCTGCGGGCATCGAAATGTTGTTGCTTTCTACTGTGTGAAATTTACGGTGAAAAAAAATGTTTTAGCATTTTATAAATGATACAATATTTTCTTACTTTGCAGGGTCAAGCTAACCGGCAGACAGGTTCGACAAATATGAATGAAGAGAGTAGCAGATCTCATTCTATTTTTCAAATAGTGAGTGTCTTTTTGATTACTTATATACTTGTAAATAATATTATCATAAGCAGTGGCGAAGCTAGGGCTCCAAACTAGAGCAAGCCCAAGATATGGTTTTGTTGTTTTTAGCAGTTTTATAAAAATACACCAATCTTGATCTGTCTCCACGCTTCAGTTTCATATTCAGTGCTGTCGAGGACGTGTTTAACAAAGCACACAGAAGGCATACAACTGACCCAACCACACTTATTTATTGTTAATTTTATTCTTGACTAGCGACCCCCCTCGGCTTCGTACGGGTGCATATCAGTGGCGTGCCTATATAATATACAATGTATGTCGGATTTTAGTTTGCGTCTTGGCTTTGAAACTGTATATAGTAGTAGTATAATAGTTTGGATTTATGTAATAACTGTTAAATATTACAAACTCGTACATGTATTAAAATGATATGCCTTGAGAATCAATTTTAAGCGATGTAGATACATTGTCCATTATAAACTCTAAATAATCGATATGTCTCGAGAATCGTTTTTTAAAGCAACCAATTTTTTTCCTATCATTACACAAAGTATTTTATAGCTGTCAAATCGGGCTTCTTAGATTGTCACGAGTATAAGTACAAAATTAAAATAACAAATTATTTATATTCTAAATCGAATCGTCTCTATTTCTTAAGGAACGATTTGATTACGTCCGCGTAAACTGTTGGTGCAAACATAATATGCATATATATTTCACAACAAAGTTTAAAGATTTAAACTTTTCCTCGCCGATTAGCACTTTAACACACTTCAATTCATCACAAGGAACACTATTATCCTCCATTTTCACTAAAAATCTTTAAAAAAGGATAAATTTTCAACTCGCAATATTCATTCGCTCAAGTAAACATTGAAATGTAAAGTGAACTTGCAAACGTATCGCCCACGCGCCCCTAACTTCACACTTTGGTGTTGCCCAGCTTATGGCTTCATACTAATTGCTATATAAACAATCGTAGTTATATTTCATTATAGAACATTTTGCCACAGGTTAGAAAGGGAGCGATCGTCTTCTCGAAAGCCCGGTAAAAAGGGCAGGCGTGCGAGAGAGACGATTAATCGCTCAACTCAACTCCTTTTTTATGACACCAGTATCGCGCAGTTTTGCCGCGGCGATTAATGACCTGTGTACAACAGAGGAGCGCGCGGTAAATTTGAAATACGAGGGCTGCACTAAAAGTATCGGGAATAGAATATTTCCACTGTTCCTGTCATATTAAAATCTTTTTAATTGAAAACCCCTTGGTTTTAAAAATCGAATACCATTTATTTATTTAAAAAAAGATTCTCGGTCTTGCCACAAGGTTTTGTCAAACTTGTTTAGTTGTTGAGAAAATGGAATTGACTCGAGAAAATTCAAGAGCGATGATTTATTATGACTTTCGAAGTGGTTTAACACAAAAACAGTGTGTTGACCGGATGATTTCTGCATTTGGTGATGAAGCCCCATCCAAAACCACAATTTATTGCTGGTTTGCTGAATTTCAACGTGGACGTGTCAAGCTCAGTGATGATCCCCGTCAAGGTCGTCCAAAAACTGCAGTCACCCAAGAAAACGTTGATATTGTGCGTAAGCTGATTGAGGAAGATCGACATGTGACATACCGCGAAATTCAGGCAATTTTAGACATTGGCATGAGTCAAATACAAATAATCTTGCATGAACAATTTTTATTTATTTTTATTTATTTATTCTTTTTTACATCTACCTTATAATAAGGGATATAAAGGGCGGACTTAATGCCTTGTGGCATTCTCTACCAGTCAACAATTAGGTGTAAAAAAGTTGTTTTCCCGATGGATACCGCATTCGCTCTGTGAAAAGCAAAAAGCGGCTCGCGTTACTTGGTGCGTCAGAACTCTCGAAAGATTCCACGCAGGATCCTCAAATGCTGTATACAACATCGTATCAGGTGACGAATCATGGATATACGAGTACGAACCCGAAACAAAAAACCAGTCACGAGTTTGGGTGTTCGAAAATGAGTTAAAGCCAACAAAAATTGTTCGTTCACGCAGTGTTGCAAAAAAAATGGTGGCCACGTTTGTCTCCAAAACCGGCCATGTTACGACTATTCCTCTTGAGGGACAAAGAACGGTTAATGCAGAATGGTATGCTAGCATTTATTTGCCACAGGTCGTTTCTGAACTCCGTAAAGAGAACTGCAACCGCCGCATCATCCTCCATCACGACAATGCGAGTTCTCACACCGCACACATAACAAAAGAGTTTTTAGAGCAAGAAAACAAGCCCTAATGATTTCTATACTTTCCCTAAAATAAAGAATAAATTGCGTGGACAGAGATTTTCTTCACCTGAAGAAGCTGTGGACGCCTACAAAACGGCCATTTTTGGGACCCCAACTTCCGAATGGAATGGTTGCTTCAATGATTGGTTCCATCGTATGGAAAAATGTGTCAAATTTCGCGGAGAATACTTCGAAAAGCAATAAATACATTTTTAAATAATAATGTTGTGTCACTTCCTTGATTCCCGAAATTTTCAGTGCCGCCCTCGTAGTGTGAAACAGTTTAGGAGTTATTTTATTAGTTAATATTATTGATTGAGCAGTTTGATAGGGCAAGCCTGGCTTCTCAGCTTCTATGGAGGCTTCGCTACCGATCATAAGAGCCTCTATTTAGCATCAAAGCATGTGGATCTATGCTTACATTTTAAATGTCTCATCACTTAAGAGTACTATAGTAAAGATTGTCTGAAACATCAATACCTTTGTAACGCAAACGTTGACAAACTTCAAGATTTAAAATAAATTCCGAAATAAATGTTCTTTAATTATTTTAAATCTAAATAACGTAACATTAATAAATCCTATAATATATTAATAATAATTCATATAATACCTTTTCAGAAAATAGAATCTCGGGAACACATAGAAGGCGAGGAAGTGGGATGCCTTAATGTTTCACATTTGAATCTCGTGGATTTGGCTGGCTCAGAACGGTCAGGACAAACAGGAGCAACGGGTATCAGGTTCAAAGAAGGAACCCACATCAACAAGTCTCTATCATCACTCGCACTCGTAATAATGCAGTTATCTGAAGGGCAAAACAAGTATGCACCTAATAAAACTTATTGTATTATTCTTGAAGTAGAACTAATTTTACTGATTTTATTGCGTTTAAATTTAAACCATGGTTACGGGGTTTTGTCTTTTTCAGATATTTTTATGATGACGCTATTTTTACAAATATCCGCAAAACTATTTACAACAAATGACATCAAGCACCCCACGCTTTTTTACAATAAAATTATTTTTTTATGTCAATCACTATTTTCTTATTTTAACTTTATTTTCTACTTTTTATATCTACAAAAGTGTGTTTTTTTTTTTCAATCAATTTGATTTAATAACTTTATTTATCAATTTTTTAGTGCGGCTAACTACAAAGGCGTTTTTTTTTGGAACAAAGTTCTTTTACGCGGCTTACAGTAGATTGAACTAGCAGAAATCGTAGTTGTTTTATGAATTATTCGCAAATCCTGAGGATCCTGGCAGGATAATGGAACAAACTAATTCAATTATTGCATTGTCATCGGTCCTTAATAAGTGTGCGAAGTTTCAAATCAATCCGATGTTTTGAAGGGGATGAATATCACATTCAAAAATACCAAGCTAATAAAAGCATTTTAAAAATAATATTTAAGGCCATCTGAGAGATGTAGCTGAATACTAGACAACCTTTACTATTCCTCATGAACCTGGCTAGCATATACAAAAAACTCAACTCAACAAAATAATTTTTGAAAACTGGTAGTTCCAGAGATTAGCGTGTAAAAACAAACAAACAAAAAACTTCCGCTTTATCATCTTTATATATAAAAATTACGTGTCACATTGTTTGTCCATGATGAACTCCTAAACTACTTAACTGATTGCAATGAAATTTTGCACACTATGTCCAGTTTGCCCCAACTTGAGAGATAGGATAGTTTTTATCCCTATAAATGACTCTCAATATTTTTTATTACGAATTTAAGAATTTTTATAGGACACAGGGTTGTCGGAGCGGACAGAACGTCTGCCTGGCCAGCTAGTATTAGTATAGATTCCTTATTGCATCTTAAAAATAGGTGAGTTTCTACATTATATTTTGTCATTGCAGGCATGTAAATTATCGGGACAGTAAGTTGACACGAATACTACAGAACTCTTTAGGCGGAAATGCGAAAACTAGCATAATATGCGCTATTACACCTGCTGCCTTAGAAGAAACTATCTCTACACTTCAGTAAGAATTATCACTTTTCGTATTTCCACTTTTTGGTGTTTCCTTTATAAAAATATGTCAAAAGATGGACATCATAATCTAATAATAAAATTCATTCTATAGATTCGCGAATAGAGCTAAGGCAATCAGAAACAACCCTGAAGTCAATGTTGTTGCGACAGATACTAAAATGATTGAAAGCCTAACGAAGCAATTGTCATCATTGAAAACAGAGTTGGAGAATAAGAAAAATGTTGAAGTAAGTGTCTGTTATATTACCAATCTATCATAATTATTATTTCAGCTCTGCATGATTAAACAATTATGCATTCAATTATGTATTGAGGTTGTTGACGAGTTCCTTTTTAAGTGGTGAAATTGCGGCCTGCATCCATACCTGTTCATCCGTTTGTGCGTGCATGTGAAAATGCATTCGTGCATGCCTAACACTACGTACGCATTTGTTGAATAGTATGTTTACCTTAGACCAATTGTTCAACTACAAAAGTCCAACTATAAAATGGGATAGAATCATTTTTATTCAATATAGATTACATGTAATTCTTATTGAAAATCATTTTTTACTATTACCAATGGTTCGGAAAAAATGTCTGTCCTGGGAAGAACCAGCAAGAAACCCAGCGGAGATTTTTTTTAAAAGCATAATTTACAATGTAATATTTAATAAAATTGTTCTGAAAACATTTAGAAACAGCATGGTAGCAATGACGTCATTCCCAGGGGTTGTTATTAATCAAGTACTCTTTAGTAGTAGACCCTTTATTTAGATTACTAAACAATTTTTGCTTACTAAATATTTTAAATCTTTCAATAGATGTCTTATAGGTACAAAAGTAGATGCTTAAAGTCACTCAGCAAGCTATCAGTTACTAATCTCTATATATCAATAGTTGTTCGTTCGTCTCGTTAAAACTAAAAAATGGCTCGAAATATAATAATTAATTTTTTGTGTGTGTTTGAATGGGTTCCTAGGTGGTTTAGATTCACATTTGGACCCGGTAGGTCGCGTTGTTGTCGAGATCCAGCACACACCAGAAATCACCCGTGCGACGCCGGGGCGGATTGCTAGTATAAATATAAATTATTGTATGATTAGATGAGGCAGATGATGGATGCAGGTGGCTCAGGACCGTCCTTTGTGACAATCTATGGGGAGGCCTATGTTCAGCAGTGGGTGGACTTGTGGCTGTAGTTGAAATAGTAGGATGATATAGGCGTCTATCAAGTAGGGTCTAGTTTTCAGCCTTTGGCACCAGGCGATGCAGTCAATTTGATTTAATAACGATTTTTTATTGTACAAAATTAAGTTTAATGCATTTGTAAATAGTTGCATTATATATTGCAACATTACTTTATCGGGTAAACACAACACGCGATTTATAATAAATAGTTCAGTTTGACACCGGCACAGGAGCTGTCAAAGAGCTAACAATTATTAAACTCTCCTTCACACCTTTTATACTGCTTAGGACTGTCAGAATGAATGTTTTATTTAATCATTATGAAAAACCCTCCTTTGTATAACAATTTAATTGACGAATAAAATTCTACGAAATATAAGATACACTATAGTCTGCACTCTTTTTGTTAATTACTTACTTAAGTTAAAACTGACTGGTGATATGATCATAACAATGTATTTATGTAGTTATGTACATAATTTTTACCTCTTACCTTATTTTGTGCCAGTAAAATTTATTTAGTATTATTATTTATCATGTTATAGCAAGATAACCACAAGCTACAGAAACATATATCAGTACTACAACGATTCCTCAGTGGTTTTGGTCAGCAGACCAGTGTGGATATTATGAACGGCAATCGACGGAAGAACCAACAAATGCGACGGGCTACTATATCCACACCGCATCTGATTCAGGACGAACCCATGCCAAATGCACCAAGATTTTGTACTCCTAGCCTCAAATACAAGTAAGTTGTTAATAAAGTAGTTGTGCTGATCAATGATGACGTTCATGAAAAAGCTGTTCTACAAGACAATTCTATGATGAACTATCTATATTTAGAATTCAAATTACACGGCCTTTAAATGTTTCTGATCTTAAGGCACAGAACTGCTTTTGTCGGTCCAAGGTTTAGCAGTGATTATGGAATGTAATGGCTGATTTTTTTTACAAGAATTTCACTCAGCTCACCCCGAGCACGCAGGCCACTTCTGTCCTCTATTAAGTATTAAAATGCAGCTATGTTGTATCCCGGGGAAGGGGGGGGGGGCTAAATTCAAAATCATTGTTAGCAGTAAAAAGGGTCTCCAGTTTTCTACACTCACCATAATGGGATACATGGCGGCATAATGCTGAGCTTATATTCCATAATAGCGCCGAGCGGTATTACAGAAACACAATTGACGACTCGGTGGTGCAGTGACTAACGTTATTTTGCGGATCTGCATTAAAAAAATGTTCTTAATGTTTGTCCATTTGGAATTTATGGATGAAAAACAAACAGCACACACCACAATACAGGAGAAAATCCTAATCTAGAGGTAACAAAGGTAAAGGTCTTTAAATAATATTTTAATAGTTAGCACTCATTTCAATATACACTGCTTCATAATAAATTTAAGTAACCTGCCTACAAGGACTATAAACTATGTCATAAAGATATTGATCATATTCAACACTAATCAAAAATCTTATCGCGTTCCAAGTATTTTACAACGAATACGTCTCACGAATACGTGAGAAACACTCACATAAACTATTTATGACACAATCTGTCGTACTAATGTTTGTCTCCGTTTCGTATTAAGACACATAGTGCAATCATTAGCGATATTGATATTTTTACCGCCTCACATTTGTGCTTCAAAAAATATATTAAGAATAATTTACAAGTATTACATATGTAATTCATGCAAGATTATTTTATATATTTTATTCTTTTTATTTTTATTTTAAAAAAACGTTACGTTTAGGATTTTCCCCTGTGTCGTGAGGGCAGTTTACAAACATAAATTGCACGAGGACTAACATCCAGACCCGGAACAATTATTTGTAGGCCGTACAAATACTTGTTCCGTGCGGGATTCGAACCCGCGGCCCCCAGCGCATCAACTCATTGCTAAGCCACTACGCCATGGAGCCGTCGAGTTTATTAGTTTGTTTTTGAAATAGTAACTCTTTTTCTCTGCAACTCGTTACTTATTGGTATTGAATATACATATAGGGTAAACAGTACTAATGTTGGCACTCCTACATTGATTGGCACTTTGCTATTTTAATCTAAATATTAAGAATGTTTTCCTTTTTCTATATCACAGCTACACAGATATTGCTAAGATATATAATTACTTATACTAACAATACACATTTATATTTAAAGCATCAACTATTTTCTTATAAGGGCTGTTTTAAAAATGTGTGCGGACAAATCCATTAAAATTTAACAAAAAGTTAAGGTTATGTGACTAGATTTTGAGACAAAAATGTGATTTTTAGGTAAGTTTATATGCAAGCTTTTGTCTATTTTAATCAATTAACGTCATTAAAGCATATTAAACGTTATTTTATCGTTGTGAAATAGAAGCATCGGTTTTTTTAATTGTGCCAAAGACTATTACTTTACTTTGTTTGACTACATAATCATTGGCATATATTTCAATCACTATACTTTCTTTCTTTTGTCCAAAATCTATTCTTGACACTGCCAATGACTATATCCTTTGAATAGTGCCAATGATTATGACTGAACTTTTTCATATTTTGAATTGATGAAGAATACTGCTATTAAGAGAGGGCGTTTTAGAAAAATAACTGCCGCACTAACATTTAACATTCCACGCGCGAATTTACAGTTCCCACTAAATAAGTAAAGTAAAAAAAAACTAACAAGCTGAAAAGCGGACCTGGTACTGGCACAGTTTTCGATGTCCTAAAAATGTCAATGATGTGAGGTTTTTGAATAAATACCCCATACATACTAAACCGTTTTATAGAGGGAGAATAAAACGTCTATGAGGTGGATCATGCCTAATCGAAATCTTGCATCACTGTTCTTTGGAGTAGATGGTAAAACCTATTATTTTCCCCCTATAGAAAATGTGATCAGACGTTCAAAAGTTAGTGCCTAGAGAGAGGTTATTTACTATCTTAAATACGGCGCAACTTTGCCCAAGTCTCGCCATAATACTTATAGCCCTTAACCTGAATGGGACGCGACTATTGCCATCAGCTGATATCACTGCATTTCGGCCCACCACAAAGATATGTGGCGTAAACCTGTCTTCGAATGACGGACAAACAATTTTACAAAAAGGTTACTAAAAGAGATGCGGGCCTATATTAGCAACACTTTTACCGTATTGAAATAAATCTATATTATGAAATAGTTTTGAGATATGTGGGTTGTGCCCATTTAGTCCAAACAAAGTGAATTAAACAAAGTGTCCGGTGCCCTCGAAATCACAGCAAGCCATTTTAGATGATCACCGTTTCTTGCCATTACGCCGAATTACCTAATATTTTAAGAATAACGATGACTGAATCAGAAATACCTTAATCAAATTAGCCTTGTATCCTTTCACTTATTAATGGTTTATCAGTACCAGAGCGTATACAACCTGCAGAGATTATTGTTGAGTATCAGAAAGAAAACTAACCCTCATGTTTTTCATCAACTAGGCAGCAAATTTAGAATTTGTTGGAGGTGAATGGGTGATTGTGGATGTCGAAATAAACTAAAATCTTTTAGAAAACCCTAAAAATATTTATAGAGTTTTATCCATTGCCAAATACGTATCAAAAAGCAAAAAGCAGGTAAACAACGCCGTTATTTTGTGCTAACAAGTGAAGATTCTGAAGCAGCGGAGCTAAAAAAATGATGGAAAAATGGGGCACAAAGGGAAAATGCAGAATTGAATTAGTCAGCCAAATATAGAAACAAACTGACAAACAAAACAAGAAGAACGAAGCCAAAAACTCTGACATTATAATACTCTCTTAAATGTTTAATCTAAAATACCGAAATAAAGTTCTATTTCTACAAAATATCGAGAAAATACGAAAGGTTTTATTAAAAAAGTCACATCAAAAATGTATACAAAGAAAGAAAAAAACATGGTAGACAAACGAAACCGTTTTCAGATGAAGGTCTAAGGAGAATTTTTGAAGAAGATTTGTTCAAAATAATTGTTATAACAATAAGATGGAGCTTAGAAAGATCTGGGTATAACTTTTTATGACTTCCAATGGTGCCAATGATTATACTTAATTTATAGTGCCATTCACTATGCTAAAGTGCCAATGATTGTAACATCCCTAGAAAAAAGTTTAATTAGATTTTTAACTTAATTAAACATTTCTTTTTAAACGTAATGCGTTATTTTATTTATGGCTATCTAAACTAAAATCCAACAAAACAATAAAGAATATAACAAATTTGTTTATTTACGAGAATTAACCACTTACAAGTAGAAATCCGCTTAAAGTGCCAATCATTATACTGCTTACCCTACTATATTATGTTTTGATAACATAATAAATAAAATTAAATAATCAAGTTAGTAAGGTACATTGAAGTATAATGTACATATCGGCGATATTCGAAGTTTTCCGATATATTGGCATCGGGGATATTGTTATGACCGATTCAACGATACTTTTTAAATTTCGTGCTTTAAAAATGTAATATAAACGCGCGTGTTGTCTTGTCTATTTCGTTGCAAATGAGGCACGAACTAACTATGCTCGGGAAAACCCCGCGCTTTATTCAGTGTCTTGTTTAGCCACAATGCTTAATTCTTGTTATGAAGCTACAGTTTAAAAAATGCAATACTTGCGTTAAAGCGTTTCACTTGGAATGCTTGGGAACCTGTCAATCACGTGCAGGCGATGCGACTGGGTGTTGGATATGCCCTACTTGTATAAATTCTAATACGAAAACCATCAACAAAGACAACACGCCTGTGCGTTTTAATCCCAATGTTACAATACGAACACAAAAAAGACAGACATCCAACTCCCCACCGGAAGCAGTGGACTCGGAAGCTCCTATTACCAGGAGTGATCTAAGAGCTATAGTGGAAGACATCACGGAAAGAAGATTTGAGACTCTTCTGGTGCAACTAACAAACACGTTTCGATCTATTATGACCTCTGAACTAGGCACCATGAGGAATGAGATAAAAGATCTGAGAGAGTCCATTACCTTTGTGAGTGATCAGTACGAGGAAATGATCAAGGAAAACAAGAAAACAAGTGAAACCGTCCGAGAATTGCGGTTGGAAAACGAACTGATGAAATCTACCATCAAAGACTTATCATTCAGGCTAAATAACTTTGAACAAAACGCTCGTTCAAATAATATTGAATACAATGTGTTCCCGAAAAGAAAGAGGAGAACCTTACAAACATAGTATCAAAATTGAGCAATGTTATAGACTTCCCCATCTCTCCGGAGAAAATAGTACACTGCACCAGAATTGCCAAAATCAATCGCGATAATCTCGCTCGCCCTAGATCGATTATTGTTCAGCTCGCCACACCCAGAGACCGTGATTGTTTCCTGGCAGCAGCTATTAAATTCAACAAACCTAGACCGGTATCGGAAAAATTAAATACCACCCACTTGGGTTACAGCGGAGAGAAAAAACCAGTATTTGTGGTTGAACACCTGTCCCCCGGCAACAAGGCACTACACGCAGCTACCAGGCTGGCTGCGAAGAAAAATGGATACAAGCATGTGTGGATACGTCATGGCCGTATTTTTGTAAGGAAAACGGACAACTCAGACTTTATAGTCATAAGAGATATGGACTCTCTAAGTAAAGTTAAATAAGTTAATACTTTGTCACTTTTTTTTATTTATTTTTTTTCTTTTTTAATTTTAACTCGTAATTTTATTGTATGGTACTTATTGTTAACAAAATAAAATACGATAAATTAAATGTCTACTATCAAAATGTAAGAGGCCTTCGGACTAAAACTCATTCGTTCTATCAAAATCTAACAGCGTCTAGCTACGATATTATAATATTAAGTGAAACATGGTTAAATGAAAATATTATTAGTTCTGAGTTATTCGATGATCGTTATAAGGTATTTAGAAGGGACAGAGAGACGTCTGGCTTTCATAACGGAAAGGAAGGGGGTGGAGTTTTAATAGCAGTATCCAAAGAGCTTAACTCGAAAAGGATAACTATGTGGGAAAGCGACTGCGAGGATCTCTGGGTTGCGATTGACATATCTTTTTCAAATACCTGTCAAAGGTTCGTATTTTGCGCCGTTTATTTGCCACCACCAGTCTCGATGCACCTAATAAAGCATTTCGTGGATAATTGCAACTCTGTTATTGAGGAAAACCAGTCCCATATTTGTATTGTTGGTGATTTTAATCTGGGAAGCATAGATTGGGAGCAGTTTGGTAAGTCAAGCAATTACTACCATAGTTCTGCGATTTGCCAATATTTATTGGACTTTTGTAATATTAATAACTATAAACAAGTCAATAATATTGTTAATAAAATGGGTAAAATTTTAGACTTAGTTCTTGTAGATCTCCCTATGTGTCAGCTATCCAAGCCATTAGACTTCTTGAGCGTAGTCGATAATCTTCATCCCCCCTTGGAATTTCAGCTGAGCTTCGAATTCGCCGCACTGTTAGCTAACCCTAACAATATAAAACTGAAGTTACGCAAAACTGACTATGAGGCAGTTAATCTAGAGCTTAAAAGTGTCCAATGGCCAGAAATCTTTTCACTAACCAAGAACGTGGATGAAATGATAGATGTGTTTTATGATAAACTTAACTGCACCATTAAGAAACATGTGCCGAAACAAAGGCAGAAAAAACATAAATATCCCCAATGGTACAGTAAGGAGCTTATCAAAAGACTGCGCGAAAAGAATAAGTTTAGAATTAGATTTAAAAAATACAAAAATCCGCTTGATGAAATTTCCTATCATTTGATGTCAAAACGATGTAAGCAACAAGTTTCGGATTGTTATAAAAACTACCTTAGAAGCACAGAGGCAAAAATAGCTGACAACCCAAAGTACTTCTGGTCTTATATCAAAACCAAAAGAGGTGGTCATGGTATATACCCAACGGCCATGAAAAATGGATCTACCACAAGTTATGAAGGTAAGGGTATCTGTGAAATGTTTGCAAATTATTTTTCGGAGGTATATAGTGATTGCAAACAGCCGTCACTCTATGATAATGCAACTAATAATACTAGTATCAACTCGGATTGTTTAGCACATATTTCAATAAGTCACGATGATATTCTCAAACGTATTAAGGGTCTAGATATATCGAAAGGTGCAGGCTCTGATAATATTCCACCATACTTCATAGTTAACTGTGCTAATAGTTTATCAGCGCCTTTAAGGCTCATTTTAAATGAATCGTTGACAAGTGGAGTATTTCCAAAGCGATGGAAGTCTGCTAAGGTCGTGCCAATTCATAAGTCTGATGATGACCAAGACGTTCGGAACTATAGGCCAATTTCTATCCTGCCTGTTTTTGCTAAGTTGCTAGAAGCAATCATTTGCCCATATATACAAAATCACTTCAAAAAATACACTTCTAGTAAACAGCATGGATTTGTAGCTGGAAGGTCTACTTCTACGAATCTCATGTGCTTTGCTGAAGACCTTATGGAAGCTGTGGATAACAATCGGCAAGTTGACGCCATTTATACGGACTTCAGCAAAGCATTCGACACAGTTCCCCATAACGTGCTCCTCCAAAAATTAGAAATGTATGGCTTCGCTGGACCTATTCTGCATTGGCTAGAATCATATTTAAGTGATAGATCCTTTTATGTGGTAGTCAATGGGTACCAATCTAACTTACACTCTATTTCCCAATATTACTTAATATATTTATTAATGATCTGCCTGATCACTTTCTTTATTCTTCACCGCATATGTTTGCTGATGACCTGAAACTGTCTAAAGTCATAAATAATGAGAGCGATATTATGAAGCTTCAAAAGGATTTAGACATCTTGAATTCTTGGTGCGTAAAAAATGGACTTAAATTGAATGCCAAAAAATGTACACACATAAAATTTACTAGAAAACTTAACAAAATTTCATCTTCATATACAATAGCAGGCAACATACTTAAGGAGACAGAAATCATGCGTGATTTAGGCGTCTTATTGGACACAAAACTTACATTCATACCACATATGGAACAAATGATCGGCAGGGCATCGAGAATGGTGGGTTTCGTTATAAGAAATAGTAAGGAATTCCGAGACCTTAAAACTAAAAAAATCCTTTATTGTAGTCTGGTCAGAAGTGTACTGGAGTATGGTAGTGTAATCTGGCGACCGCACTACGCTACTCACTCATTGAGAATAGAACGGGTACAAAAGCGCTTTCTTCGGCATCTGTCATATTCTTCGGGTATGCGAGGCAGGCATATCAGTTACGAGACCCGTCTTAAGCGCTTTAACATGACCAGTTTATCCAAACGAAGAGAGGTTTCTGATTTGTTATTTTTATTTAAATTACTCCACAATATCATAGACTGCTCAGAACTTTTACAAAAGATTAATTTTAGAGTTCCGTTCAGGCCTCCACGAAAACCTATTACACCACTCAGTCCTCCATTACGACGAACTGTTTTGGGATCACATTCGCCAATTTGTAGGATGATCAGACTTTTTAACCAAATTAGCGATCTCGTCGACATTAACCATGTTTCATTGGGAAAGTTTCGAAAGGCTGTCTATATGATAGGTACCTCAGATTATAAACATTTGCCTTGTTAAACACTTTTTCCTTTTTTTAATCTTTTAATTTTTTTTTTTAATTTTGTAAATTTTGTAAATACATACCTTGCCGCTCTGTTTTTGGTCAGATTGTTTTAGTGAATTTTATAATGGCAATACTACAGTGTTTCTATTCAATAAGTATAAATTCGTCTTTTAATTGTCGCGATAAAAGTTATGCATGTGGTGTTTACCTGTAATTGACTGTGTACTTAGTTTAACTATACCGCTTGATTTATATGGGAAGATGTTAGTGCATAAGTTGTTGGTAAACCAATTTTAATAAAATAAAATAAAAAAAA